GATCTCGACGCCAGAGCGAAAAAAAGACGATTTTGAAGCACTTTTTAAAAGGATTTTTAGAAGGAAAATCACTAGCGCCAAAATGGAGAAAATCTGCTGACAAATTTATTTCGCAGCCTTCATGCAGCCACTCCAAGACGATTTACGAGATCCAGCGGCAAAAGACAATAGTATTACGAATGCAGCCACAGCACGAAGCAACCTTGACGCAGCCATTACAATGCGATCTGCAGAGACTGAGTTGCAAAACACAATAGAACTACGCGCAACGGCGTCGGAAATTGTAGCTCCAAAACCGGATCTCGCCGTCAGAGCGAAAAAAAGACGATTTTGAAGCACTTTTTAAAAGGATTTTTAGAAGGAAAATCACTAGCACCAAAATGGAGAAAATCTGCTGACAAATCACTTCCGCCACAGAGGTAGATCATCGAGGTTCGGGGACGGACTTTCTATGGAAAAACATAGGGTTTCGTGCATCTGCTATCTCTCAAAGACGCATTTCGTGCGAGACTTCCTCCAAAACTCCATCGGCAACTCATCCACCAGCACCACTTGCAACCCCATTTACAATGCGGGAACGATCCTACAGTTGCAAATCACAATGGAATTCTGTCAACCACACATGCACGAAAAACAGTTGAAACCCCATTTACAATGCGGAACCGATCCGAGACCGATCCGAGAATATCCGAGCATGATCCGACCACACACGAGACCGTCTCGCACCCGTCGCACCGCAGAGGTAGATCATCGAGGTTCGGGGACGGACTTTGTATGGGAAAACATAGGCTTTCGTGCATCTGCTATCTCTCAAAAACGCATTTCGTGCGAGACTTCCTTCAAAACTCCATCGGCAACTCATCCACCAGCACCACTTGCAATCCCATTTACAGTGAGGAAACGATCCTAGAGTTGCAAATCACAATGGAATTCCATCAGCAACTCATCCACCAGCACCACTTGCAACCCTATTTACAATGCGGGAACGATCCTACAGTTGCAAATCACAATGGAATTCTGTCGACCACACATGCACGAAAAACAGTTGAAACCCCATTTACACTGCGGAACCGATCCGACCATGATCCGAGAATATCCGAGAATGATCCGACCACACACGAGACCGTCTCGCACCCGTCGCACCGCAGAGGTAGATCATCGACGTTCGGGGACGGACTTCGTATGGAAAAACATAGGGTTTCGTGCATCTGCTATCTCTCAAAAACGCATTTCGTGCGAGACTTCCTTCAAAACTCCATCGGCAACTCATCCACCAGCACCACTTGCAATCCCATTTACATTCAGGGAACAATTTCTTTGCTAACTCTTTCTGTGACTAACTCTTTCCCTCACTAACTCTTTCTTTGACTAACTCTTTCCCTGACTAACTGTTTCTTTGCTAACTCTTTCCCTTACTAACTGTTTCTTTGACTAACTCTTTCTTTGACTAACTCTTTCCCTGACTAACTCTTTCTTTGACTAACTCTTTCCCTGACTAACTGTTTCTTTGACTAACTCTTTCTTTGACTAACTCTTTCCCTCACTAACTGTTTCTTTGCTAACTCTTTCTTTGACTAACTCTTTCCCTCACTATCTCTTTCTTTGACTAACTCTTTCCCTCACTATCTCTTTCTTTGACTAACTCTTTCCCTGACTAACTGTTTCTTTGCTAACTCTTTCTTTGACTAACTCGTTCCCTGACTAACTGTTTCTTTGCTAACTCTTTCTTTGACTAACTCTTTCCCTCACTATCTCTTTCTTTGACTAACTCTTTCCCTGACTAGCTCTTTCTTTGACTAACTCTTTCTTTGACTAACTTTCTTAACTCTTTGACTAACTCTTTCCCTGACAAACTGTTTCTTTGACTAACTCTTTGACTAACTCTGACTAACTCTTTCTTTGACTAACTCTTTCCCTCACTAACTCTTTCTTTGACTAACTCTTTCCCTGACTAACTCTTTCCCTCACTAACTCTTTCTTTGACTAACTCTTTCCCTGACTAACTCTTTCTTTGACTAACTCTTTCCCTGACTAACTGTTTCTTTGACTAACTCTAACTCTTTCCCTCACTAACTCTTTCTTTGACTAACTCTTTCCCTCACTAACTCTTTCTTTGACTAACTCTTTCCCTGACTAACTGTTTCTTTGACTAACTCTTTCTTTGACTAACTCTTTCCCTGACGAACTCTTTCTTTGCTAACTCTTTCTGTTTCCCCTCACTAACTCTTTCTTTGACTAACTGTTTCTTTGCTAACTCTTTCTTTGACTGACTCTTTCCCTCACTAACTCTTTCTTTGACTAACTCTTTCCCTGACTAACTGTTTCTTTGCTAACTCTTTCTTTGACTAACTCTTTCCCTGACAACTCTTTCTTTGACTAACTCTTTCTTTGACTAACTCTTTCTTTGACTAACTCTTTCCCTGACTAACTGTTTCTTTGACTAACTCTTTCTAACTCTTTCTTTGACTAACTCTTTCCCTGACTAACTGTTTCTTTGACTAACTCTCTTTCCCTCACTAACTGACTAACTCTTTCCCTGACATTCTAAAAGTCCGTAACACGGAAGTTTCTCCCCCTAAACTTCCTTTGATTACTCAAATTTGTTTGCTGTCGTTTTGCTTTTGGGTTCTCAGGCCCCCCCTTGTTTTTTGATGAAAGAAACGACTTGAAAGGGGTTGGTCAGTTGATCAGTTTGAGCCCAGACTCAGTGACTCAGTTGGGTTGAAAGAATGTCAGGTCAAGTCAGAAAAGAATCCCAGTGTAAGTGAGAAAAATTGCACCTCATTTACAGTATATCGCTGATATATCAACCCGATAATAAGCCTACTTAACGTGGTACAAAAGCTCCAGGTGGTAAAATTCAGCATCGTTCCGTATGGGTCCCCCCAAACAAGAGGTGTTCACCAAATGATGAGGTTTCAAGTGGGGTGATGCAAGCGTACCAAGCGTACCTGGGGGGTTGCATCACGGGCATGGGAAGTGGACAAGAAACATAATAATATCATATTATACCCCAGGTATATATATATATATGGGTATATATATATATATGGGTGTATATATACATATATATTATAAATATATATATATATATACATATATGTATATGTATATACATATATGTATATGTGTATGTATATATATATATATATATGTATATAATATTAATATATATATAATATGGGAGTAATGTGTGCAATAAGGGTCCACATCTAAGGTCTTCCCCCAGCCTTGTTGGTGCTTCCTCAGCACTTCTCGGACCTCTCGTTCTACACGCAGCTCTTCACTGCAGATCTCCCGAAATGCGAAGACCGAGTTGATGGAATAGTCCTGTGATGGAAACAGCAAGGACTTAACCAGCAAAACATGGTGAGTTAATTGAGTTATAATAAGTAAAAATTGGGATTTGTACCCATCAACATCCAAGAAAGTTGGAAAAAGTTGGATTTCCACCTAGGACAGTCTGCATCTATCCCTCAATTAGTTTTCTGTCTTTTAACCAGCTAAAATTTGGATGTTACCAATGATATTATATTGGGGTTGTTCAAAATTATGGTTCCTCAAAAAACTGCCCTTTCGCTGCCCTTTCGCGCCCTATGGCGTCCCAGCAAAATCGGGACAGGGAAGTGTTATCATGTTTTCGTGTGCATATTTCGCACTAGAGGTTTACATGAGGATTGCATTGGAAACAATACTTTTAATTCCAACGAGGAAGTGGAAGCATTCGCCTAAGTCGTTTTACAGATTGCCCGACAACGGAAACACAAGTTGCTTAGACTTTGGAGGGTGTTTGCAGTGGCAACATTGCAAGACAAACTAGACCATTTTGGGCCAAGGTGGGATCCTTGCAGACTCGCCTTTCGCCAACCTTCCGCGAACCTTTCGCGGATTTCTCGCCTACCAAAATGATTTTGATCTCATGTTTCATGAGAGGATGGGCGGGTGTTTCAGTTCCAATACTAAAACCCATTCCTATCTGAGAAAAACTCCCAAAATTCTTGTTCAATGGTTGTATGAATGCAACTCTAACTGCCAAGCATGAATACTATATTACTATATCACATAGATCTAGTCATATAATGTCATATAGGTGTATTTAGACCTTTCGCGAACCTCTCGCCGCCCAGAAAAGGGCGAATTTCATTGAGATTTGACTGGCCAGGCTCCCCTCGATGAAATACTGTTTAGTTGATACCTTATCCATCCTTATCCCTATTAGTGTAACCCTACAACAAAAAATAAACAACCAACAGTGGTATTTTTCGCTGAAAGGGATCCATCTTCAAAAATACTCAGTATAAATACCACGGTCCTGACAGAGCTCCTCAAAGCATTGCTTGGTGCTCAACTGCGACCTCACATTCAGCACATGTCCTTTCTCCCGCAGCCTTTCTGCCAGGTCTTGTACCGCCTCAATCTGGAAGCGATTTCGGATCGCGCCCGTTTTGGGAAAGCCGCAGAGCCGCGTTCTTCCCGCGTGCCAGAAGGGGTCGAAGACGTAGACATGGAGCACGGGGAGAGGGCCTTGATGGGCTGCTTTCAAAGCTGCATGATCATGGCATCGCAGATCTGTGCATTTGAACCACACCACATTCACTCGTTCCTTGCCCGGCATCAGGGCTAAACTCGAACCAATGGCATCCCGGCATTCAGTCGAAGACCTGATGCTCATGAGAAAAACACTGGCTGATGATTGGAACAAAAAGTAAAAAAATGGAAAAAAAATCACTTTGGATATCCGAAACCTTCGGAACTGCATTCAACTGAACACAATAATTAACCCATGGCTGCGGCAATGAAGCTCAGTCCGTGCACCCAAAATAGACGGTTAAATCTCTCCATGCGGGCCCCCCGAATGAATAGGTCGGTTGCTAAACCAGGGATCAATATAGGGTGGCACGTATTAGCGAACAGGAAAAAAATGATTACTCACCTCCAGAGGCCGCATTGTACCCGAAAAACCCTTACAGCACAGCATCAAGATGATCAAGATTCCGCACCAGGACGCGTCCATCATGCAGACGTTCTGATACAAAGAGATGCCTTAGACAGTCGGGTCATGATGATCAACTCCAGGGCCTTGAAGGACCCAGGAAACTCACCGACAGATGACATCAGTCTGACCAAGGCTGTGAGCCCTTTGTTGGTCTTCCAAAGCACAAAGACATGATCCTCAGCCGAAGTCGGAGGATGAAACTCTGGGGAAATCGGGAGATTGTATATCGGGATTTGCCCAACGATATCGTTATTTTGTTATGTATTTTTTGGGTTATATAATTAATAACGGTAATGTAGTGGCTATATGATGGATATATAATGGTTATATCATCTAATTAAAAAAATTGGAGCATCTTATCTTGTCTTATATCGCCGAACACAGCTGGGACCATCTGCAGAATTTTCACCGACTTTTCTCCAAGACCCGCTCCGAAAAGGACCGCATGATATGGCTTATGGTGATGGATCAGTGATAAATATAAGGATGGGTCAATACCTATTATGCCATATTTGGGGGGGATAAACATTAACCGAAGAAAGTTTAGAAGTCAAACTTCCGACAATATGGACAGATGGAAAAGCAGAGGTGGTGAGGTGGTAAGAGTCAGAGAAGAGGGGATGGACGGTTGCCAGAGTTCATCAAGGTGTGTTTTTGGTAATGAAGGGAGTGAGTTTCTGGTAGTCCATGACTACAAAGCCGAGCGAAGGGATGTATATATTTCCTTGGCGGGTGGGAAGATTTTGTTCTGAAGTGAACCCGTAGCAATGGATGTAGAGGGTGCATCGGCGAAGCGTAGGCTGTTTCCATCGAGAACCAGGTGTTGATCAGGTTGATGAGAAGAGGTTGCATGTTGTCGGAGGGCCAAGCAGGCACATTTTGGGTTCTCGCCGTCAGCCCATTTTGTAGCTGCTTCTTTGTGGTTGCATAAACTGTCCATGACCGAGGGGAACTTTGTAAATACAATACCAGTGGATGGAGAAGAGAAGAGAAGAGAAGAGAAGAGAAGAGAAGAGAAGAGAAGAGAAGAGAAGAGAAGAGAAGAGAAGAGAAGAGAAGAGAAGAGAAGAGAAGAGAAGAGAAGGGAAGGGAAGGGAAGGGAAGGGAAGGGAAGGGAAGGGAAGGGAAGGGAAGGGAAGGGAAGGGAAGGGAAGAGCAGGGAAGAGCAGGGAAGAGCAGGGAAGAGGAGAGGAGAGGAGAGAAGAGAAGAGAAGAGAAAGAGTCAGAAGAAATAGACAGAAGAAAGAGTCAGAAGAAAGACACAGAAGAAAGAGTCAGAAGAAAGAAGATCCAGGCGCGCGAAAAGGTAAAGTCGCGACTCACTCTGTTTTTTCAATGATTTGTGGCTCCGGAGGGTCGAAAAGTAGGCTTGCTAAAGCGGCGGGTGCGGAACCATGTGGTCAAATGAGAGATGAAAAGTTGCACGCCGTCGTGGCCCGAAGCACATTTCCAAGTCACACCAGGTTCGGAACACTTTTGGAAGTTGAGATGTCGAAAAAGAGCACGCCGTTTTGGCGCGAAGCACATTTCCAAGTCAAAATGTGAAAAACACAACATTCTCGGACCGCTTTTGGAAGTTGAGATGTCGAGAAGGTGCACGCTGTTGTGGCGCGAAGCACATGTCCAAGTCAAAATGTTAAAAACGTACTATGCTCAGATCGCTTTTAGAAGTTGAGACGTCGAGAAAGTGCACGCTGTTGTGGCGCGAAGCACGTGTCCAAGTCAAAATGTTAAAAACACAGCAGGTTCGGACCATTTTTGGGCGTTCAGATGTCGTTTCGCGTGGCAGGCGCAAGGGATTGTGCACCGTGTCAAAAGTGAGCAAAAAAAATGTTCTATAGCATTTCCAAAAACGATGGCAGGCATGGGACATTTGAAGAGGATCGGCAAAGATGCATGTCGTGTGGCAGGCGCAGTACAAGAGACATGTTCATCAGAGATGTTAGGGGGTCAGGGCGCTGATTTCCTGAGAGGTGTTGCCTTTTGGAGCATGAGATCATCAAGTTTGCTAAGATGATTTTGCGTGACAGGTGCAGCACTTCGTACGACCTGGCCTCACTTTTTCGTGGCAGGCGCAGTACTTTAGACAGGGGGGGGTGGGTTAGGCTCTTGTGAAGGTGCAGCACTTCGTACTGTATGACCTGGCATCACTTTTTCGAGAGACATGGGCTGGACAGCTCTGCATTCAACTTTCCATTATTGAAGGATTCGTTTTTGATGTTGCCAACTTCAAAAATTGAGGAAGTCTCGCAGAAGTGCTTCGTTTTTGATGTCGCCAACTTCAAAAATTGAAGAAGTCTCGCAGAATTGCGTCCTTTTTGACGTTATCAAGTTCAAAAGTTGAAGAGTCTCGCAGAATTGCTTCGCTTTCAAGCTTGCAGATTGCAGATAGACAGATAGACAGACAGGTAGATAGACAACAACAACTACAACTACAACTACCACTACCACTACCACTACACTACACTACTATAACAACTACAAATACAAATAAACCACACTACCTTACACTAATTACACTACACTACACTAATTGCATCTAATTACACTACACCACACTAATTACACTACCACTACAACAACAACTACCACAGCTACACCAACAATATCAACTACACCACATTAGACTACACTGCACTAACTACAGTGCAGTACGCTACAACTACACATGCAAATGCAACTACAACTATACTGCATTACACAACACTACACTACACTACACTACAGTACACTACACTACACTACAGTACGCTACATTACGCTACAGCTACAACTACAAGCGCAGCTGCAACTACAATTGTAACTACCACTACATTGCACTACACGACACTACACTAAGTACACTACACCATACTACAACTACGCTACCTTACGCTACTACACTACACTAGACTACACTACACCATACCACACTACAGTACACAACACTACAGTACACTACAATACAATACACTAGTTACACCACACCACACCTACAACTACAACTGCAACTGCAGCTACACTCACTTATTACACATTACAACTACAACTCCACTACTCCACCCTACAACTACAACTACAACTGCACTACACCACACTACATCTAGCAGTTGTGGGTGAGGTGACCACTGCAACCATTGCAACCACTCTAAAAAACACAACTCCAAGCACCTTTCGGTCCATCAATGGATTCGCTCTGCCATCCGTGATTCACAACAACCAACCTCTCCTATAGGTTTCATATTTTTGAAACTTCCGCCACCGCCTTGTGCGGTACTACTGGTAAACATGGTTTTGACCCACAGCCATGTGTTGTTGATGGATCCCACAAGTTGTTTGTTTGCCATTTCTATGCTTGAAAAGCAAAGAAATAGGTGTGAAACCACAAACCAAATCATTATACCCATTACATACCCATTGTTTGCCGTTATATAGCCACTAAAATACCCATTGTATGCCTATTATATGCCCATGTTAGATGGCTATAGTCTATGAGTCTATAATGTGTTCAAGTAAAACAATAATGAACCATCCCCCAAATCACCATAAATAGGTGGTATAAACCAGTCCCAAATGGGTAGTTTATTAGTGTTTTAACCACAGTAGTTCAAACCAACAATAACTTCTGAAGTTTGCAGCTTTTGCCCACTGAGCCGCCAGACCACGCCACTGGGAATGTGGTCCAGAGCGCCCCTCAGCAGACCAGTCATTGACAATTATAGGAAAACCACGGGCTAGATGATTGGGGAGAAAAAGAAATCTTTGGTAAATCCAGCCAATTTCCTACAGGAATAACCACGGGTTATTCCCAACTCAGTAGTCAAGTCATATCTCATGTGCGATGTGTTCATCCAACCACAAATCATCCCCTTGTGGCTGTACCCTTTTGACCGAGTCTGGCATCACGCTCCGTTGCTCGTGTCATCAGGACCTCCCTTGAAAAACAGGCTACGAGTCCGCCACCCGGTTTTTTTCACACACCATTCGTACAGAATGGTGAGATATCATGGTTTTCTTGCCAACCATAGATAGGATTTGTGTCTTGCCTAACCTCTGTAACAGTGGCACGAAGTAGGGCACCATTTGGTGCACGAAGAAAACCGCAAAAAAGCACGATTTGGTGCACGAAGAAAACCAGAAAAAAACACGATTTGGTGCACGAAGAAAACCAGAAAAAAGCACGGTTTGGTGCACGAAGAAAACACAAAAAAAGCACGATTTGGTGCACGAAGAAAACCAGAAAAAAGCACGACTTGGTGCACGAAGAAAACCAGAAAAAAACACGATTTGGTGCACGAAGAAAACGACAAAAAAGCTCGAACTAGAGCACGATTTGGTGTATGAAGCAAAATCATCAAAAAGAAAAGCATGAACTGGGGCACCATTTGGTGCACGAAGAAAACCGTGAAAAAAAACGTAATTTTTTGGTGCTCCATTTGAAGCATGTTTAGTAAGAAATTGTTTTACGACTGTTACAGAGGTTAGGCAAGACACAAGATAGGATATAAAAGGATATGATATAATATACATAATATATCATAATATGATATAATGGTTATCGATATCAATCACAATCGCTAAAAAGTATTCACCAAGAAAACATAGGGAAAATCCCCAGGGTGTCCCTACTTGGTGGTTGAGTCAACTCATCCTGAAAGCGTGAAAGTTGGGGTCAATCCTGCAACGATGATGCTGTTCCACGGAGTTTCAAATGGGGCCCAACACCAAGTTTAGGTATATCTGTTCCAATGATGCTCATAAATGGTATCAATTCGCTCATTCGGCAGTCCATTCTTCAGCCATTTTGGGAACCAGTGACCTCTCAGTGAGGTCACTGCAATTCATCCACAAAAACTCTCTGGTAAACATACAAAAAGCTATTGAAAATGGCCCAGTTGAAATAGTGGATTTACCCAGCTATAAAATGGTGGATCTTTCCATAGTTATGTAAACGTTTACCAGAGGGTATGTACCATTATTATATATCCCACTATATATCCCATTATATATCTCATGATTTCCCCATTATCCCTGCATGGTTGTTGGTCTTGGTTAGATCATGTTAACTTGCCATTGTTGCTGCTTACATCACCATTAGAACCATTCTTATTATCCTCTGGTGATTTAACATTGCTATGGAAAATGATCCGTTTCTACATGAGATACATGATAAAAATGATGATTTACCGAACTTAAACATGGTGATTTTTCATAGCTTTATGTTAAATTGCCAAAGGGCGCATCCTTAAATCATCATTTAGATCTTAAGTTAGATCATCATTGTTCTTCAATTATAACAACCATCTTAGAGCCATTGTTAGAACCATTGTGAGATAACAATTATCATTTTTAGAACCGTTATTACTGGTTGGTGGTATACCTACCCCTCTGAAAAATATGAGTTCGTCAGTTGGGATTATGACATTCCCAATATATGGAAAAATCTATTAAAATCCATTAAAATCCATTAAAATCCATTAAAATCCATTAAACCACTATAATCCATTAAAATCCAATATATGGAAAGTCATTAAAAAAATCTTCCAAACCACCAACCATTCTTCGAACAACAATCTGGCCATGGGATGATGAACCCCGAATCCATGAACATCATCCCAGTCATGTCCCAGGTCGTGAAATTTACCCGTTGAACAATGGTGAAACACCCATAATCTGTAGTAGAACCCATCAAACATGGTCAGAAAAATATGTTGTTGATTTTTTACGGTGTTTTTTTTGGTAAAACCCATTATGAGGTTCTAGAACCCATTGTAAAACCCAACCCATTAGAACCATTTTTTACAACCCATAGCCTCTGGTAAACTAACATAGCTATTGAAAATGGATCATTATATATAGTTTACCCATAAAAAATAGTGATTTTCCATACTTATGTAAACGTTTACCAGAGGGTACAACCCATAATCTATCGCCCCTCTGACGTCTGAGGTCCCTGCGCGAGTGCTGCATCATCCCCGGTGGTCGCTTTCCCCATGACGAGGCGGGCTGCATCGCCCACCTATAGCGTCACGGTTGCTGGGAAAATCCATGGGAAACGTTGGAAAAATGTGGGAAATCCACCATAAATGGAGCTGTTGAACTGATTTTCATGGGAAAATCCATAGGAAAACCATGGAAACATATAGTAACATCTCTAGAAATGGAGGTTTATAATGTTTAGAGCTAGGAAATCATCGAACTGCTGGGATTCTAGCAAGCCATGGAGCTGATGACACCGGAGGGTATTCGTCCCAAGATCCGAAAGTCCATAGAATTTTCAAGGTTGAAACCATGGTAAGAATTAGCCCAAAATCGAAGGGTTTCCAGTTTCTATGTTTCCTTCAAACAGGGATTCTGGGATTGGGATATCGCTATATATATATATGTGATATATATATATATCATATCATATATATATATACATATAATGTTGCAGTTGGTGCAATCTCTTGATTTGGAGACACACAAATTGCGAAGCGGATATGTCTGTCCTAGCTTCAGGTATCATCATTGTCATTCTAGTAGATTCTAGTCAGAAAGCATATGGTTTCAGTTTATGTCTCCCTTCCCCCTCTCTTTGGACATCTTCACGATGGCTATGATAATTGTGGTAAACCACATGGCCTTCAGCATAATTTAGTTCTAAGATTCTACCAAGCATATCTCGCCAGATTGATCCATGATCGGCCGGACCAGCAGCGAGGTAGAGCAGTGTGGCGTATCATATATGATTTACCATCTGGCTATTTAACATAGCCATGGAAAATGGCCCATTTATAGACGGTTTAGCTATTAAAAATGGTGATTTTCTATGGCAAACTGTTAAATAACCAGATGGTAAATCCCAATCTTTGTTGATGCATATCCCCATGTTATTGATGAGTGAGATCCTTTGAAATGTGGTCAAGCCGCTTGCCCGCATTTGTATCAAAGTTCATCCAAGTATATCATCGGTATGGCATGGCCGCCAAACAGACTACCATGGCTAGAGCTTACGCTTTCTGCGTGAGAACATGTCTTTAAAAAAAAAAAAACTCACATCAATTGTAGCCATTGGTTGCTGGCTAAAATCCCATTGATATGCACCCTTCTGTTCACCCCAAAATAGCTTAAGCTGGTTACGAATCGTTATCCCCATGGAAATTTGCTGGTTTTTGATCCATCACCTGAATATATCTTTGCATCAATCATATCCTATGTTTGCTGGGTAAAATCCTAATGATACCCATTCGTCAGGTCTGATTTGGGTTTGTCTAAAAACATTGTTATGATCCCAATATGTCCGCAAGATCGTCATTTGTTACCATAATATTACCATGGTTCCTGAAGATGAATAGTTCCTGAAGAGATCCTCAAGAGATCTTTCGATAATGAGCTACACAGTTGCCAAGGGACCGAAATGGGCTCCACCTGCATTCCACAGGGAGCGGCCCCCCAAACGAGTCCAAACGATAGGCCAATAGAGGATTTTCGACTAAAAAGGGAAGAGGGAAAATGTCAATGATCACCATTACAATGCGTATATCAGTCATATTTCATATTAAATATATATATACATACAAATATATATATATATATATATGTTATATATATAATTATATATATATATGTTATATATATATGTTATATATATAATTATATATATATATGTTATATATATAATTATATATATATATGTTATATATATATATACTGTTATAAGTTATATATAAGTAAGTTCTATCCTCATGATCCAGTCAAAGGATAATCCTCTGGCTCACCGCACCCAAACGGAGATCTGGGAAGCATGCTCCGGCCAAAAGACCTCGCAACCGGAGCTTCACAACTGGATCTGAAAAATCGGGAGGGCAGTTTCTAGCCCACTTTGAACATAGAGAAATGTGATAACTCCGATTTTTTTGACCGGAAGGAGAATCGATAAATGATGGGCTTTCCGTTTCTATGTTGATTAAGAGTCACATGTTATGATCCAGATATCGACCTGATCGACCAAGCCCTACAGCATTGAATTGCTCTGAAAGGTAGTGGTCACTGGGTCTTTTGAAGAAATTCGCAAGAAACCAAGGGTTTACAATCCAAATGTTGAGGGGGGTCCTGTGCATGTTCCTTTCAATCAATTCTGGGAAGTCTATAGATGTGCATCCCAGTTGGTATGTAGTTTCAGAGACAACCACGGTTATGACCCAATTATATGTGGGAAAAACCCTAGTCTTTTGTCGGTTTGTCCAAAATAGGATATCCCAAAATCCACTGGTTAATCTATCTCAATCTGGCCATACCTGGGGGTATCCCCCATTTTCCGACTCCAAGTTGCCAGCACCAAATCAAATGCTGCCATCGCCCTGGATCGCAGGCTTTTTTTTCTCCGCGAAGTGGCACTTCTGAGGGCATGAAACAAAACACTCCAGTACCCAAGTGTCAACAATTCTATACAATTCTGCCAGCTTTGCTATTGAAGCCATATCCACAATTTGAATTTTGGATGTTGCAAGCCCGTCATATGGGAATGAATCCCAATTGGGCGGATGAACTTCTAAAAACCACGGTGTTTCTGGGGTGTGACCAGCCTCAGGGAATCCAAGAAGCGCATGGCGAGCCAATCGAAGCTTTCACCTGTAGGTCACAGATTTTTCGAGGCCAAAGGTGTCCATAGGGTCCCATGTTAGCGGCATTCAGGTCTATGTTCAACCCAAAACGATCGGATTTAAATCAGTTGCTGGTCATTTCTGAGCAGTATTTCCCGATATCAGATTTTCCCAAAGGTGGTGCCCCCCAGGTGTGTTTCTTTGTTTTTGACCTCCAACTATGTAGACATATCCATCAAGAACCCTTCCACTTCATGTAGTGAAATGTGAAAACCCACTTGAACGGTGTTTTGGTTGAGAACTGGATTCCCCATTTATGGATTGTGGTATTCCCATATATATATTCCCCAAGATATTGGTGAGCATTTTTCCCCAAACTAATCATCAACCAATCACAATTTACCAATTTTATCGATTTTATCAACTATATCAACTATATCAACTATATCAACTATATCAACTATATCAACTATATCAACTATATCAACTATATCAACTATATCAACTATATCAACTATATCAACTATATCAACTATATATCAACTATATCAACTATATCAACTATATCCCAATATGTGTGATGGTTAAATCATCTTAAATCCCCATGACTTCGCTCACTTCGCACAAAAATCACTGGGGCATCACTGGGCCTGGCGTCAGCGGCCGTGGAATTGAAGGCCTGGCCTGAAGAAAGGGGACGGGACCGGCAGGGGAAGGTTCCAATGGTTTTTCAAAAGCCCATCACAAACAGATATAGTTGATAAACATATTGGGATATACTTGACATAGTTGATATAGTGATATAGTTGATAAAGTTGATAAATGGTGATTGGTTGATGATTAGTTTGGGAGTATATATACTCACCAATTGGGGAAAATTTGGGAATATCACATTTAGAATTCCATTTACATCCATTCACCCTTTTGTTTTACCGGGGCGTTTCAAATTTCATGCCCTTCTTATTCGGAATTATTGTCGGGTTTACCCTTGCAAAATTACTTTCATCCCAGCACGAAAACAGCGGCACCCTAGAATTTCTCTGTCCCTTGCTTTGCTGCAGCTCTCTATCTGTCGTAAATAAGTGAAACCGAAGGCGGTTTTCAACAAACACAAGACTATGAAATTATAGTGACCAGTTATATGACAAGTTATATAACTATCAGTTATATAACTATCAGTTATATAACTATATCAACTATTTTTTCGACTATGAAATTGTTTAATGACCAGCAATCCAAAGAAATTTCCGCCCGGCCTTCTCCCTGATGCTCTCCTTGTCTTATCTAATCGAAAGCCCAGAATGTTGCAGGGCACCATAACATTGTTTTTTTTAATAACTGGGGAGTCCATGCGATTTTTTTTGCTGAGAACTCCTGAGGTATATCCGCGCACCATATTTTATAGACATGTATTTGAAGAATATAGACATGTGCAAACATTTACAAACTAAGATTAATTGCGGCTCTTGAGCGCCAAGATGAACAAAGTAATATGCCCATATACATCCATTATATAATTTATACATGCATGTACAAAGCCCACATTCATAATATGGAGATTGAATCCAGTTCCTAAGTCGTTGAGGGGCCGGAACTACTCCCGTCCCAGGATGTCTCAGGGCTCCCACCACTATGAGGGCGTCAGCTGCGATACCAGCCACAACCCCTGGAGGAAATTCTCTGTAGCTGCAGAAGTCATCTACCCTGAAAAAAAAACCCTAGATAGACAATAATATATATATATAGAGATACATATATAGATACATATATAGATACATATATAGATACATATATAGATACATATATAGATACATATATAGATACATATATAGATACATATATAGATACATATATACACACATATGTGCGCAAGCATGTATACAGATAAACCGTGGCGCCTAACGTTAACAGAGAACGCCATCCATATCACAGGGGCGAGGCTTGACAAACCTCCGATTCTGTGGTGAAATACTGTGGATGGGCCAGCGAAATCCTGCATCACCTTGGTTGAAACCCCAACAAAATCATGGGATGTTTACCACCACCTATCAACTGGGGAAAATCGGATTTCGTCAACATCCACCGTACGTTCGATCACGAATCTGGATGATCTCATAGAGTTGGCCACGAATCTGGATGGGCATACCGCACAAAGGTACCCTTTTTCAGACACGCCCAAAATCATATTAGTGTGAGAGAAGCAATATTAAGCCATCCCCTATGACTTACCATTTTTGTGGGTGGTATAAACCATCAAAGTATGGGTGGTTTATGACATTGCTTAATTAACATGATATATTGCTTTAAATCCCCTGCGTATCCACATTGTATCCCACCTGCACCGCCAGCTGCCAGAATTAGGTGACTGCTCGATGCAACGGCGGGACCTCAGGATCTCGGAAAAGTAGAGTTGCTTTGAATAAAGCCTTGATGGTTTATTGAGTTTATTGCCTTCCTGCGACGTTGCGAAATAACCAGTTTAACCAACTTAGTGACTTTAGTGCGTCATGCGGCTGCGTCGCCAAAAAACACCAAAACTCATCGCCAAAAGTGTGGTGATAATCCATCCAGCTCATCCCAATGGTGTTTGGTGATTCTTCACCTTCAGCTGCAAAATCACAGGTCTGGACCCCATTATTTTTGGAAATATATTATCAAATTATTGCATTCATGACTCCATCCATTATTGCAAAATCACATTATCATATTTTCAGATACCTCATAATCGGCTTTCCAAATAATCATAGAATATCCAATCCCCACGTTGGCTTACTCTCACCAGCTGGCTGAATGATCCATATGCTCCATATCCGTCACCCCACTGCCGTGCCTGCAGCTGCGCAGACCTCATCAAACCAGCTGGATTGCACAGCCACCCCCCCCCGTAAGGTCCCAAAAAAAAGCTGGGGAGATTCCATAGGTGAAAAACAGACTTACTTCGTTTTTACCCACTGACTCCAAGTGCGTCCAAAAACACATCCAAGTATAGCAGCCCCAAAAAAAGACAGGCAAGTGATTTGCTATTTCAGGTTTCTAAGGTCTCTTGGGTGTTCCCCATATTGTTCATGGCAACAACCACCATATGTTCTCAATTCTATGACCCCGCAAAAAAATAGAATTGGGTACAATCCCACCTTTTATATCGGTGGATGTCATTTCGGATGGTGGCTCCGTATTTGCTTTACTAACATGATTGACATTTATTGACCATCATACCATTGATTAGTAATCCATAGTAATCCATCATTCACATGATTAACATTCGAATGGAGAGTTTAACCCACAATTACCCTCCGGTAATTTCGCACAGCTATTGAAATTTGCTCATTTAAAAGTGATTTACCCATATTAAAATGCTTGTTTTCCATAGTTCTGTTTACGTTTACCAGGCCGGGTATCCAAAACCAATGCTTCAGAGAGAAATCTGAGAAGAATGGTGGCTTCTTTGATTCGAATTAAACCATTGGTTCATATTGGTTCATTAATGGTGGGTGAAATATTGGTGAAATCCCCATTCACCATTATTCATCGGATCACCATTGGGATCTATGCGAAAGATTTCGAAGCACCAGATGATCCCAATCGCTGCGAGTGACGGAAGCACCTGCAAGCACTACACAACAACTCCGAGACGCCTGGATCATGGGGGCCGGTGACTTAGGCTGCTGAAATTTCATCCAAAGTGTGGATCGGTGAAACACAGGTGGAGTTGAAAAAAGCTGGCTCAAGCCTCGTTATCCCCAAGAAATGACATATTTATGACCAGGGATCTAACCTACTTAGAATACTTAGTATGTGCGATGAGCCACCAAGTACTGGGAGATATGTGTTCTTGCACTTGCTCCTGTTGGATTTATGATAGATGTATCGATTCTATAGCATAGTTTTATTTACAAAAAAAAAACTTGATGGCTGATCTGAGGAATCGTGTTTGTGGTTTATTTCACCGGCTGTAGAATAAATTGGGTTAGTTCAGCTACAATTTGTGGGTGAACTAAGCGTAACTAACCAAGCAGAAACCAAAAAAAAATAGAATTTGGTAAAATCTGCCTTGTCTATCTTTTTTGGACATTTACTCTGGTCTTTAGAAAAGGTGCGAGATAAAACTACTGAAGCTACTTGTTTTGGGATATGTCTGGGCAAATTATAATGATTCACTAACCTGCAACGAGGCCATTTTGGGATGATCCCCTTCTTCACCATGATTCCAGTTAGGTCGCAGTGAGGTCGTTATAATTTGCCCAGAATATGTGTCAGGTTTTCTTCTAACCCCACCTGGTAGATATGCCACTTAGAGGTACAAATTCGATGTGAGAAACCCATTTGATCCAGGTTCTTAACAAAATCGCTCGTGGATGATGATAAGCCAACACAGGCAATCGGATAATTTCTGGTTGGTGGTATACCTACCCCTCTGAAAAATATGAAAGTCAGTTGGGATGATGACATGTCCAATATATGGAAAAATAAAAATGATCCAAACCACCAACCAGATTTATATGTACATCATATACACCGACAAGATTCTCAATCAACGTGGGTTTTCACGACTGCGCATTTCTAGAAGGGTGAAAACCCACGTTGATTCCGATACTTGGGACTTGGCACTCCGAGAGCTGCTCGCTTTTTGTTGGTGATGGCCAAAAAAAGGCGAAGTGATCCGCTTATTTCATGCACATACCTGACATATCTACAGTTGGCTGGGTGACCATAAACCAATTTATCACATGGGGACGTCGCTTGGGGGAATTGTTTATTGAAACACAATGCGTCCGCATCCGAGGCGAAGTTGGGTGATGCAATGCTACTATGAGGCATTTTTCTGAAAGTCACAGGCCTGATTCCCAACGGAACAATAAGTGCGATCTCGTCATCTGAACAAATAAATCTGACTGTTTCTTGTGCCTTCGAAGGCTAAGGCACCGCTCCTGCGAGAGTATAGTGTTGAACGATGACCGGAAACATTCAATAAGTCTTACAACAAGTTTTAGCTGTTTAGTTTTCG